TTATTTTTTTGAGACAGAGTTTCTCTGCAGCTTTTAAAGCCGCCACGGGCCAGTCCTAAAAAAAAAAAAAAATCTAGTTTTAAGAATTGGACTTGGAGCCGGGCGGTGGTGGCACACGCCTTTAATCCCAGCACTCGGGAGGCAGAGGCAGGCGGATCTTTGTGAGTTCAAGGCCAGCTTGGTCTACAAGAGCTAGTTCCAGGACAGGCTCCAAAGCTACAGAGAAACACTGCCTCAAAAACAAAACAAAACAAAAACAAAACCCAAAAAAACCAAACCAAAACAAAAAAAGAATTGGACTTGGGCCAGGTATTTTCTTTTTCATTTTTTTAAGGGAATGGTTATTTATTTATTGAATGATAGATTGATTTGACATCCTGACTGAAATTGCCCCTCCCTCCTCTCCTCTCAGTCTCTCCCCTACCCCCATCTACCCTTCCGCAATCCTCTCCTCGTTCATTTTTATTCAGAAAAGGTAAGGCCTTCCATGAGTATCAACAAAACATGGCCTTTCAAGTTGCCGTGAGACTAAGCCCCTCCCTGTGTATTAAGGCTGGGCAAGGCGACCCACTAGAAGGAGTAGTGTCCCAAAAGCCAGTAAGAGACAGAGACAGTGCCAGCTGCCACTGTTAGGTTTCCTCAGAAGACCAAGCTACATAACTGCCACATATATGCCGAGGGCCTAGGTGGGTCCCATGCAGGCTCCTTGGTTGTTGATTCAGACTCTGTGAGCCCCTGTGAGCCCAGGTTAGTTGTTTCTGCGGGTTTTCTTGTGAGGTCCTTGACCCCTCCGGCACCTCCTACAATCCTTTCTTCCCCTCTTCAGCGGGATTCCCTGAGCTCAGCCTGTCGTTTGGCTGAGGGTCTCTATGGCTGCTTCCGTCAGTTGCTGGCTGAAGGCGCTGATGGCTATTGCAATAGTCACCAATCTATGAGTATAGCAGAATATGGTTAGGCATCTTCCATTGACTTGTTTGTCTCCAGTCAGGTTTGGTTTATCCTAGGGCTCTGGGTCATTCAGCCTCGGGGTCCTCACACCGCAGGCGGGGTCAGGAGTGGGCTCACTCTTGTGGCACGGGTCTCAGGACGTGCCAGTCAGTCATCGAGTGGCCACTCCCTCAATCTCTAGGCCACCCTCACACCTGCACGTCCCATAGGCAGGACATACCGTAGGTCAGAGGTTACGTGGCTGGGTTGGTGTTCCGGTCCCTCTACTGCGCGTCACGCCTGGTCACAGGTGATGGCCAGTTCAGGCTGTGTATCTGCGATTGCTAGGAATCTCCCTTACCCCGCTCCCACTGTACTTTATAACACTTTATTAAGAAGAAACCTATGTCAATGCTTTTTTTTTTTTTTTTCCCCGAGACAGGGTTTCTCTGTGGCTTTGGAGCCTGTCCTGGAACTAGCTCTTGTAGACCAGGCTGGCCTTGAACTCACAGAGATCCGCCTCTGCCTCTCGAGTGCTGGGATTAAAGGCGTGCCCCACCCCCACCCCGCAGTACTCTTATGGAAACAATGACAACACAGACCCAAGGGAAAGCCCTCAGGGATCATGTGTAGACAGTCACTTACCTTATCCTTTATTGAATCCACGCGTGAGATGTAAGCGGAGTTTAATCCTTATTAAGCAAACATTTTTGCTCGCACGGCCTCCTCTATATCCTTCTGTGCCTTCATCCGTTGATTGACTTTGAGTCACTCTGCCTGGATAGCTTATCTCCTAGGCCTTGAGATCCCGGTCAGTGCCCTAGCGTGTTCTTTTAACCCTTTTCATCCTGGCACTCTGTGCTATAGTTCTTGGTGTTTGATGGGTCCGTTTCAAGAGCCCCCAAACAACTGTCGATTGCGCTCTGCCGATTTGGCGCCTTCAGTTTACTAGCGCTGATACTCAGTGCACGGTTGAAGGCCATAGGTCGCCGTCTAGATGTGTCTGCTTTCTCGGCAACAGCCTTTGAACCAGCCACGTACCTCAAAACCTTTGCGTGTTTTCTAATAGCCACCCCCCAGTTCTGAGATTTGAAATGTTTCCAATGTTATTTAAGTCTTCAGTTATTAGTAAGATTTTTATCTACATATTTTAAGTCTGTATACGCATCCAAGTCTTAGCTGGAGTCTTCCTTGTCGATTTCTGGCAGATTCCCTTGCGCAGGTTTCTACCTGACCCCAATATTGCACCCCCTCCTTTTCAGTAGTTTCTTTCAATACTCCCCCCCCCAGCTCCCAACCTGATTGCTCATATTTCTATCCCACTCACCCTCAGTCCGCTCACAAAATCTTTTCTACTTTCATTTCCCAGGGAGATCTGATGTGCCCCCAGGACACCTTTGTAACCTAGTTTCTCTGGGTCTGTGAATTGTAGCATATCCTTTGTTTTACAGCTAATATCCACTTATGAGTGAGTACATACCACTCTTTCTAGGCCTGGGCTACCTCACTCAGGATGATTTTTTTTTCTAGTTCCATCCATTTGCCTGCAAATTTCATGATGCCGTTGTTATTAACAGCTGAGTAGTACTCTATTGTGCAGCCTTACCCCTTTTCTTTATCCATTCTTTGGTTGAGGGGCATCTAGGTTGTTTCCAGGTTCTGGCTATGACAAATAATATTGCTATGAACACAGTTGAGTAAGTGTCCTTGTAGTATGGTTGAGTAGCCTTTGGATGTATGCTCAAGCGTGGTATAGCTAAGTCTTGTGATTTTATGAGAAAACACCATATTGATTTCGGAAGTGACTGTACAGGTTTGCACCCCCACCTTCAATGGAGGAGGGCTCCCCTTGCTCCACCATCATTGGAGGAGTGCTCCCGGCGCTCCACCATCAATGGAAGAGTGCTCCCCGTGCTCCACCATCAATGGAGGAATGCTCCCCCGTGCTCCACCATCAATGGAGGAGTGCTCCCTGTGTTCCACCATCAATGGAGGAATGCTCTCCGTGCTCCACCATCAATGGAGGAGTGTTCCCCTTGCTCCACATCCTCTCCAGCCATGAGCTGTCGCTTGTGTTTTTGATCTCAGCTGTTCTAAAAGCTGTAAGACGAAGCCCTGATGGCTAAGGATGTTGAGCATTTCTTTAAGTGTTTCTCGGCCAATTGAGATTCCTGTGGTGGGAATTTTTTGTTTAGATCTGTGCCCCGTCTTTAAATTGGATTATTTGTTTTTTTGATGTCCAGCTTCTTGCCCTCTGTCAGATAAGGTGTTTTTTAGTGAAGATTTTCTCCCATTCTGTAGGCTGCCATTTTCTCCTACTGATGGTGTCCTTTGCTTTTCAGTTTTATGAGGTCCTATCTATTAATTGTTTTTAGTGCCTGTGCTATTGATGCTCTGCTCAGGAAGTTGTTTCCTGTGCCAATGTGCTCAAGGCTGTTCCCCACTTTTTCTTTCTTCCATTCAATATTTTTTTGCTTCCTTGTCCAAAATCAGGTGTTCGAAGATGTGTGGATTGATATCCGGTTCTTCTATTGGTCCTCCTGTCTGTTCTTATGCCAATACCAAGCTGTTTTCAGTACTGTAGCTCTGTAGGAGGGTTTGAAGTCAGGGATTGTGATGCCTCCAGAAGTAGAACTACCTCTTATAGATCAGGCTGGCCTTGAACTCACAGAGAACCACCTGCCTCTGCCTCCCAAGTGCTGGGATTAAAGGTGTGCGCCACCACCATCTGAGGTACTTAAATATGTTTTACCTTGTCTTTATTGTCTGAAGTGGCATAACTGTTTGTCTTATTAAATTTTCCTTCAAGACAGGTTTCTCTGTGTGGCCCTGCCTGTCCTGGAACTCACTCTGCAGACTAGGCTGGCCTCGAAACCCATAGATCCACCTTCCCCTGCTTCTGGAGTGCTGGGATTAAAGGCGTGCGCCACCACCACCAGGTTTATTCATTCTCACTTTTTGTCTTCTCCCCTTCTCTCCCCTCCCCTCTGTTTCCATGGCTCACACTGCTTGCTGCATGTTCTGTTCTTAATGCTTCCCATCCTCTGGGTACCCCAACCAAAGAAAATAGCTCTCTGCTACAACAGCCCTGTCTTTCTTTCTTTTTTTTCTAATTTTTAAAAATTTTTTATGATTTATGTATCTTTATTTTTAGTGCATTGGTGTGAAGGTGTCAGATCCCCTGGAATTGGATCTTCAGACAGTTGTGAGCTGCCATGTGGGTGCTGGGAATTGAACCCGGGTCCTCTGGAAGAGCAGTCAGTGCTCTAACCACTGAGCCATCTCTCCAGCCCCAACAGCCCTGTCTTTCTGAGCAGGCCCCTAAGTTTCAAAGTTCCAGGACGTGGTACACAGTTTTGAAGTCATGAATGCTTCCAACAGAAGCCCACCAATGGTTTATTATAGCACAGGCTAGCCTCACAAACCAAACCAAACAACAACAACAATTAAAACCCTTGCTCCTCCTCTGTCAGCTTCCTGAATGTTCAAATTGCTGGTGGGCAACACTATGCCCTACCTACCAATTTGAATATATAACCTGGGTTCATCTAAAACAGAAGTCAACCCCCCCCCCGCCCCACGGAGCACTGACAGTCATGTCGGCAGAGAAGTCTGAGCAACATGCCCTGGGTACAGTGAGGTGTCGGCATCACAGATGTGATGTGCAGTCATTCTTGTCACCTCACCACCGGCTCACGGAGAGTGACTTTGTCTGCCTGGGCACACTATATATTTCATAACGCACAATGCATATCTCTCCTGTGTGTACAACATGTGGAAGTCAGGTATGGTGGCATAAGATCCGTAATCCCAGCACTGAGGAAGCTGAGGCAGGAGGATTAATATAAGTTCCAGAGCTACATGTCACAAGACCCTGTCTCAAAGAACAAAGTGAGGGTTGGGGGTTGGGGGCACACGCCTTGAATTCCAGCACTTGGGTGGCCGAGGCAGGCGGGTCTGTGAGTTGGAGGACAGTTTGGGCTACACAGAGAAACTCTTTCAACCCCCACCCCGAAAAGAAAAACAAAACAAAGCCAAGCCAAGCAAAAGAAAATACTGGAATATTTGCGTTCAATAAGACAATAGCTTAATAACAAATAGTTTATTATTCAAATGGCTCACAATGTCCACATTAAGCCAATAAAAATATATAATATGTGAGTTGCTTAATGGCATAGCCGACCATAATGCTTTTGGAGGCCAGCCTTTCAGATGTAAATGGAAGTCCAGTCCCCTGTTCTCCAGAAGACTGATCTTTATAGGGTAAAGACTGGGGCAAGATGAAGACTTTCCTGGTCGCGGGCACGGAGTAAGTCAGTCCTGCGTACACCTCATGGACTGTGAGCCCCTCTCCACTCCTGTAGAACTGAGAACTCTGGGTTGCAACAGTATCCAAGTTTAGCATGTCAAGATAAAAGCACAACCTGAACCTAACAGTTGTGGAAGGCACATGTTCGTTTCAAGTCTATATTTGTCTCCTTCAATGATATCTGCAAATTTAAAGAAAGAAAGTAGAATATTCTTTTCGAGACAGGGTTTCTCTGTGTGGCCCTGGCTGTCCTGAATTTGCTCTGTAGACGAGGCTGGCCTCGAACTCACAGAGATCCGCCTGCCTCTGCCTTCCCAGTGTTGGGATTGAAAGTGTGCGCCACCTCGGCCCAGCTTGTTTTTCTGAGGCGGGGTCTCACTGTGTAGATGTCCGAGGACTCACAAGTGCCAGGGATTAAAGGTGTGCCAACATGCTCGAGGTAATGAAATGGTTTTTGTCTACTATGGCTTTTGCACACTGAGATTGTGAGTGAGCTCTTTCAGCTGACTTTTTAAAATCCAGTTTTATTGTGTTCACATGCGTGCGTGTGCACCGGCACGTGGGTCCAAATACTAAGGCTCTACTAAGGTTAGAGCGCAACTTTGTAGAGAGGGGTCTGTCTTTCTGCCTTTATATAGGTTCCAGAGTTTGAACTCAGGTCACGTGTGGGCAGGCGTGGCAAATTCCTTTACTGACTGAGCCATCTTGCCAGCCCTCGGCTGGGCTTAAGACGTTCATTCTCTTTAGTGTTGCTGGGAGGCTCTTGGGGTCAACAATACCTCAGTTAACAATTTGCTGCAGGCCTGGCCATGTGCTGGCCCTTTGAAAGAAGAGACAAGCCCGGCAGTGGTGGCGCACGCCTCTGATCCCAGCACTCAGGAGGCAGAGGCCTGCGGATCTCTGTAGGTTCGAGGCCAGCCTGGTCTACAAAGTGAGTTCCAGGACAGCCAGAGCTACACAGAGAGACCTGGTCTTGAAAATACAACAGAACAAAAACAAGAACAAAAAACCCAAAACAACAAACAAAAAAATTAGGAAATAGTTTTTTGAAGATTATTATGAAAAATAGGGGTTTGGTGTGTAGGTGCACGCCCCAGTCAGAAACAAAAAATTAGACTGATTGTTACAGGCGGGGGATAGTCAGTCTGTGTCTGTGAATAGGGGAGAGAGTATTTTTGAGTTTCAGCAAGGCTGTGACTTCCCGAGAGGCTCTAATTGGTTGAAGCGCTAGTTTGGATAGCCTCTTTAACAGGCATGAGGAGGAGCATGGCTTTGTCTGTTCCTGAGGAAGTGAGCCAGGCTCTTGCTTCAGGACCAGCTGGGACGTCTATTTACACAGATGTTTTAGTTGAGAGAAATGTAAGCACGCCTTTCAGTTGATAAATAGTTGGTTATTTTCCTTGTCTGAGAGATTGAGACAACGTTTACGCAGACTGGGGGAAGCCCGAGCCCGGAAATGAAGAACGTTACATAAATGCCTAGTATCTGTGAGATCAGGTCAGCGGGCAATCATTTAATAACCACTTACAAGGCCTTCGCCAACTTCTCTTGGCCGCTCACATGCAAGTGACCTGCGTCACGCCCTCTTCCTGCTCAAACTGTCCGTCATCCAGTTCCCGTAGGACGCTGTCGCTGCTGCTGAACCCCAAGAAACTGTCGCTCTGTGCCGGCCGCTCCTCCTTGGTCCAACACTCTCTGGAAGGGGAGAGGGGGCCCCCGTCAAGAGGGGCTCGGCCTTCCGCGGGGTGGGGGGCGCCGGTGTCCAGGCCTATGCTCCTGCTGCCGACCTTGTTCCTGTCCTCGCCCTTTAGAAGTCGGCTGGCTTTCCTCTGAAAAGGAGGAAAGAGACCGTCAAGCCGGGCTTGGAACATGTACCCTGCGCCTCTGCTCCATTTGCTCCCTGCCTAAAACTCCCCCTTTTTCCCACTTCCTTTCAGCATGCGCCTCGCTGTAGCAGCTGGGGTGTGGCTTGGAGTCAGAGCCCTGCTTCTCCTCATGGAGGTCCGGGCTCCATCCTCACCGCCTGGGAGGAGATCCTGCCATCTCTAAGGTCTAAGATCCAGCTCAGAGCGCTGCTCCTCTAAGCCTGTCTCGCAAATCTGCCCTGGCTTGTCCTTCTCAGTGACCACAGAGCATTTCTCAAGGGGAGAAATGTACCGGTATCTAAACAGCGGAAACGATGCTTTAGTGGGTTCCTTTTCCTGGAAAACACAGACCCAGGTCCTTTCGTGACGGCTGGAATGTCTTTGGGATCTAAGCAGCCTTTTCCTTGTACTGCTACAGGCAGGGCTTTTGCCCAAGCTCACCAGACTGACAACTGGGTGTTTTGTTAGTAAATATTTACTTAATATTAATAAAAAATGGGGGGGCTGGAGAGATGGCTCAGCGGTTAAAAGCACTGACTGTTCTTCCAGAGGTCCTGAGTTCAATTCCCAGCAACCACATGGTGGCTCACAGTCATCTATAATGAGATCTGGCGCCCTCTTCTGGGGTGCAGGTATGCAAGCAGGCAGAACACTGTACATAATAAATATTTAAAAAAATTAATTAAAAAATGTCATTAGTTCATGTGGTAGTTGAGTAAGAACGGCCCCCATTTGCTCAGACACTGATTTAAATGCTTAGTTGCTAGGGAGTGGTACTCTTTGAAAGAATTAGAAGGATTAAGAGGTGTGGCCTTGTTGAAGGAAGTGTGTCACTGTGGGTGGGCTTTGAGATCTGAGAAGCCCATTCCAGGCCCAGTCTCTCTCTCTCTCTCTCTCTCTCTCTCTCTCTCTCTCTCTCTCTC